CGACAATGCTAGGATGTGACCCCCGGGGCCCCACACCCCCTACCCGTTGCCCCTGAGTTACGGGGGCCCAGAGGATGCCCAGCTGCGCCCAGAGACAGGAGACTTGAGACAGGGCGGAGCCCGGCCTGGGGAGCTTTCCCAGCGGTGGCGCTGCTGACACTTGCGCGGGATCATTCTCCGTGGCGGGGGCCTTCCAGACATTGCGTGGCAGCCCAGGCCTCGCCCGCCCCAGTCATGACATCCAGAAATATTTCCAGACGCACAGAGCGTCCCCCAGGGGCAGGGCCCTGACCTAAAACACAGGATGCACAGGTAAATCTGGATTTTACATCGATGACGGAGGGTTTTTTAGTATAAGTATATCCTAAATATTGCACGGGACATACTTACACTAACAAACCGACCGTGGATTGTCTGAGACATACCCGGGTGTCCTGTACTTTTATTTGCTGAGGCCTGCAGCCCCCTGGGGCAAAGCCACGGGAAGAGGGCAGAGGTCAAAGGGCAGCTGTGGCCTGGCAGGTGGGCCCTGCTGGCAGCTGGCGGGCCATCAGATCTCAGGAAAGGGGACTCCTGGGAGCAGGGCTGTCGTGGGGAGCTGGCCCCTGACCGGTCTCTCCTGCTCCTCAAGGACGGTCAGACGCGTGGCCACGGCCTGGCCCGGGGTGGCACGCAGAGACCACCAGACCACAGTCCTGTCCGAGACAGGCCCTCGCAGCCTCTCTCTGCCTCCAACACGAAGACAGATGAAAACCGACAGACAGATCCCCTCTGAATTTTCTTGGGGTAAAAAAAACCAGCCAAACAACAACAAAATCAACAGAAAGGGGCCTTGAGGAAACACGCACTGTCAGAACGAGAAAAGAAACCTGGAAAACCAGAGCCTCCTTGTCTGGGAGAACGAAAAGACAGGCCACAGCCCGGGAGAAAACGGAGGCGAAAAACGTGTGGCAGAGGGGACTGTCACCCAAAATACGCGAAGAACTCCTAAAACTCAACAACAGGAAAACAGCCTGCTTAGAAACGGGCCAAGGACCTTCCCGTTTGCCTCGCCGACGGCGCACGGGTGGCAAACGTGCGCTCGGGCGGCAAACGTGTGCTCGGGCAGCTCCGCGTCGCCCGTCGCTAGGCAGAGGCGGAAACGGAGCTGCCGCCACTCCCGCGGGAAGGCGGGTCCAGGAGACTGACGACATGCAGTGCCGGTGAGGACGTGCAGCGACAGGAAGCCTCCCTCGCTGCGGAGGGAACGCAAGGCGGCACGGCCACTCTGGAAGACAGCTGGGCGGTTTCGCTCCGCAGGCCCCTGCCCCTTGATGTCAGCATCCGCCCACGTGAAATGAAAACTTCTGCCCGCACGAAGATGCCTATGGCACCTTGGTTCACAGCTGCCAAAGCCTGGAGGCAAGACGTCCTTCAGCAGGTGAGCAGGTGAACAAACTGCGGTCCATCCAGACAGTGGAAATTATTCCTCCCTAAAAGGAAATGAGGCTGGGCGTGGTGGCTCACACCTGCAGTCCCAGCACTTGGGGAGGCTAAGGTGGGAGGATCGCTTGAGCCCAGGAGTTTGAGACTAGCCTGGGCAACACAGCAAGACCCCATCTCTACAAAAAATTTAAAAATCAGCCAGGCATGGTGGGGCACACCTATAGTCCCAGCTACTCAGGGGGCGGAGGCAGAAAGATTGCTTGAGCCCAGGAGTCT